TAATGATGCCCATTGATTGCAGCAATCCTATTTGTAAATAATCTTATTTCATGCACTGAAAGTTTGTGAAGTCTAATTATATAGATATATCTTGTAGGTTACTATATTAAATTGCTCCCTTATCCCTCAAATATAAGATATCTAAAAATTTAGGTAACCAGGAGCTGCAGCTGTAATTTTCTGAACACTTTTTCTCCTTCTAGGTTAATAAAAAGATATCTTTTGCTTCCTTTGCCTGTCATTTGAAAGCTCCAAATTATCCACTTTCTGAATATCATAAGAGTTTTTGATTTCAGAACAGGGAAATTGTTTTTTGTTCAATGCATATTTGAGCCTTGGACTTATATTCTAAATGAAATTCCTGTCATATTTATTGGAAATAAATGCTTGTTGGGCCAGTTCCTTCTAGACATTTCTTAAAGGGTAGAGATGCATCTTATCCAGCTTAAATAATTCTGTCTGATATAGTAATTTAAACACTTTTGCAGTCAATGGAGAGAAACACATTTTTAAAGTGTGATTTATTTCACTTATTAACATGATGAATCATGTCCTGGAAATAGTGATTTTTCTAGTCTGGCTATAAGAAAATCCTTTGGATGTATAATTCTGATGTGGACATTTATGCAGTAGAACCCTCTTTATTACAACATGGATATTTATCCATTCAGCCTGCTATAGCAAGTCTTCTTTTCTTCTACCTTTCAAGTGGAACAAATGACCATTTAAAATTCTGATATTCTGGAAAATATACAGATGTACAAACAAAAATAAAGCACCCAAAAACCTAAGCCAAATAGTCTGTTTTTACACTATGTCTATATGTGAGATTTTCCCCTATGTGACTGAAATGTGCCACCCAAACCTTTACAAAATTGCAGCCAGAAACATTTTACTGTTAAAAAGAAAAAAAAAAAAAAAAAAGCCACCCAAAAAGTCTACATTAGGTAATAGCAACTAATGTTGGCGATTTTTTCAATAACTGCTAAGTAAGGGTGATTTACTCCTGACTTGCTTACAGAACATATTTTTTACTGAAGTGATGCAAAAAATAATCTTCCATATAAAGGGAATCTCTACAAGTTAGCATTTTCCATGCATGCCAACATTAATGAGTATTAATGGATATCACACCTATGTTCACTATTTGTATCATTCATTGGACAATTGAGGTTAATGTTTTCAAACTTAAGCAGCCTGAAGTAAAATATTTTTTTAAATTCAGGTTGTCCCATCACACAGGTTGGTAGTTAGATAATAACTTCAAATAACTAGTGACACTGGGTGCATACACATACATAAATATATATATGAGGGATCATGGATTCTATCTGCCTCCAGAAAAGTATCTAATATCATCTGGGATACTTTACAGCCCATTAAAATTCCTGTTACCACTTCATAACTTCTGTGTCATATGTGCCAGCCCAGTGTGGACAACTTAGATAATTTTGGGCATCTCACATGGTATCAGACACTTATGTGGGGGTGACTAAATTGAATGCTCATCTATTTAATGGAAACTTCTCACCTTTGAAACATCATTTCTTGCTGGAGGTCATTAAAGGCAGCCCTCTTAATGACACTTTTGTTGGGGACATTAGAAAGAGTTCACTAAAGATGTCACCAGACTTAACACACAACCTAGGCCACCTAAGTGAAGAATATTGAACACGAACGTGGTTCAGAGACCTAATTCTGAGCAGTACTAGACTTCTGCAAGAGAGGATTTATTTTCATCATTATTTTAATTTTTGTGCATTTTTTAATCATCATGGGAAATCTGGGAATATATGGGGTGATAGAAGTGTAAGTTGGTTATACCTCAGCTTTGACTACTTTTGCAATTCTTAGGTGATGAATTTGGCAGTTGCATAGATTCACCAAGGTGAAGATGTGAACAGCCAGTGATTTGAAGCTGTATTGTTCCCTGTCACTACAATTCTTACCTGTGCTAGTAATTTTCCTTATGGTTTAATGTCTGACAGCTGTAGTCCTACATGTGGAAATCAAGCTTATGCTGATATAATGATTTTCAGTGGTTTCTTTATCCCAAAGTGTACTCAGTCCCCGTGAATTATGAAGCAGAACTATAATGAGGGAATTTGCAATGAATTTCAAGTTTATGCCAATTTGAGCAGCTTGACACTGAATTTAATATAATGCTGAAGAATAATTATTCTGCTGAAAGTTTTATGCATTCTCATTTAAGTTAGAACAGATATACTGAATGGATAATCTGTTTTTAAAGAAATATATCTGGAGTTACTTTAACATATTGAGATTCTGAGCTGGAAGTGAGCCTGCATTATGTAGTTTATGCACATTTTCTTGGTATAGTAAATGCAAAAAATCCAGTAAATTGGTATTTTAAGAATTTAAAAGATGCAATCTATTACTGCTATTTGATAAAAGTTACAAGAGCTTTCTTGAAGCCTTTGTGGAAATGCTTTCTCTATTTATTCCTCATGAAATAACTAATGCAAATTCATAGATAACATAGGTCATAGGTCACATTTCTCTTCCCCAGCTCATTACAGGCAAAATAATAAGGAAAGTTTTCCAGAATGTAAATTCTATTGTGGAAAAAGTGTATTTCATTCATAATCACAATGCACAGCGTTTCTGGTGTTTGCTCATGGACTTCAAGGTCTGAGCCATTAAAACTTGCATATAACTTGCATAACTCAAATTTGTTTTGTGAGTTACTTTTATTGAAATAATAGAAAATGTTTAAGACATAAATATATTTAAGGGAATTTATATAGGCCTTCTAAACATATTGAAAGTATCTGAATAATATATACAGATAAGATTATAGATATAATAAATATCTATTTCTAGATATATTTTAAGTACTTTTAAAATAATGATCAATTGACGGCAGGTTTCTGCAGAAGAAAGTGCTATCCAAGGAAATGATTCTTTATCTATGCTAAAATGGTTCCCTTGCATCAATTAATGTTAGCTTAACAAAGTAAAATTATGAGGCAGGCAACTCTCTGAAAGCATCCTAATATTGTCTTAATAATTGGAAGTTTCATACGAATAAAATGTCTGTTCTATATGTAATAAGGATTTTTAAAAATTTACTACTGATTTCTAAATAATATCAGTATTTTGATTACAAGAACATATATTAAAATAATTATTGAACAATTGTAACTGAAGCCAATGAAACAATATTCATAGTTTATTTGTGACTTTGGCAACAATGCAAAACTTTTCTATAAAATTGAATCATATAATGTCAATACTAAAGAGCTCCACTAAAGAATAGCTATTAATTGACATTTTTATCGGTAGATATACAAGGGTTCCAACATATTAGGAAATATCTATATTTCAAGGAATTTAGTAATTGATTTCAGTAAAATTAATGTTTGTTGCAGCTCTGATTTCACTGTGACTTTTATACTTTGACATTGAAGAGGTTATCTGAGAGAAAAGAAATCATGTTTGATGAACAAGGTCACCTGTCTTTTGAAAAGACAGTGGCTTTCTTTAATAAGTAAACTTAACATTGTTTAGCACAATTTAGTGCATCAGAAGTGATTTTAACTCTTATACATAAAAAATGGGTCTTAATGAACCACAGAAATCAAGACTACAATTATATAATACCTGGATTTAAACACATTCCCTTTGAGAAAAAGGTAAAATTATTGTTATTTTTAGGGAAAGCAAACATAATGGTAAAGGAAAAAAAATAAAATTTTTCATCAGTTCTCTTTAGAAGAAACTTGTAGCACTTGTATAAATATGAAAGCCGATTTTGGTTCTTATTGTGGCTAGATTTTACATAATCAAAATAAAACAAATACTGAATTTATTGTTTCAGAATAAGAGAATTGGAATAGACTAAAAAAATTCACATGAGAATCATTTTGGTAAAATAAAAGCAAATTGAAAAAGTAAAAAAGGCAATTGAGAATGAAAAATGAAATTAGGATAAATGGAAGAAAATAATGATCAAGGCACTTAAAACAAATTTGGCACTGAATGAAATTAATAGGAATAATCCAACTTTGAAGATCTGTGTATAGGTAAAGCAATAATATTTCTATTATAGATATTAATATAATGAAATAAAAGGAAAGTTCTGGAAATAGCATTAAAATTCAATTTCTAAGTTCTTTAGCTATCTCTGTAGGAGTTCTGAATGCCAATATCTATATTTAATTACAGTTATAATCATAGAATCTTCTTAATTTGGTCTCCAAAACTTGTGTTTATGTGAAGCAAAATCTTTAGACAGATTGTTGTAGTTGGAGAAAAATTCATATGTTTGTGAAAGACTAATTGCAATTCAAAAGGCAACTGGCTGTGGAAAATTAATGTTGAATTGTTTTCAGCTGATTCCAAATTAGGACAGAGAAATATTTAAAACATTTAAATCCATATACTTCGGCTTCAGAATTGCAATTCAACTGACATCAGTAAGCAAAGACCTCCATGCATACTGATGCAGTTAGACGGAAAGCACATCTTCAAATGAAGTGATGGAAGCTCAACATATTTTTTCATCTTAAATGATTGCAGAGATTTCCACTACAAGAACTCATTTTAGTGCAACCAGTATTCCTTCTCAAAATTGCTAGTGATAGAGGATTGTGAAGTTTCTGCTTTTGGGCCATGAAATGTTTCCTATAGGATCAGCCAGGCTTTATAGAAGTATATTTGGTGCCCTGTTCCCAGTAGCTGTGCATCCCTGAATAGCAGAATTTCATATTCCAGTAGTGGCCTTAGGTTCTAACTGATTCAGCTGAGCAGACAGAAAGCATCAGCACCAAATCTACTGCCAGATCAAAAGCTCAGACTATGATTACTGGCAGAAATTATCAACCCTAAAGGGAAGCACAGATGACACTAGTATATTTACCATATGAAATGTATTAAATCAAATGGTCTAATTTTCCTTATTCCACCATATTTACCATATGAAATGTATTAAATCATTAAATCAAATGGTCTAATTTTCCTTATTCCACTTGCATTTATTCTGATTTCCTGACTTGCAGTTATTCTCAGTCATAAGTGGAAAGTCATAATTTTGCAGCTCTAAGTAGGCAAAATTGTGTATCTACAAGCATCAGAAATAAATAAAATGTAGGATTTTTCTCCCTCTTGAAATGTTAAAAGAGTCTCTATAGACTGTTCTTGTCACGGTTCATCCATTAACATGATGCAGTGAAATAAGGGGATCAATTTTCCAGCTTGTCATGAGCTTCCAACATGCAGTAGATGCATCAAACAGTGAGGTTAGAGCCCACATGCTTAAATTGAATATAAGCTTAAGAAAGAATTAGGTCACTGTTTCTTTGACTCCCGTATTTGCAACAAAGCCCCAGTGCAGCCCCAGGACTTTTTTATATTACCTGATTAAACACACAGGCTTCCCACTCAATAAAATAATTTATAAGATGCATTAACATAGGTGAGGAGGTACAATCTGAAGTTACGAAAAAAGCCTACTTTTAGTTTTGTGTTTCTTCCTGGTTTAGAGTCACAACTCAGTCACTATGAATATTCAGACCATTTGACCTCTTCCTTTCAGTAAAGTCAAACTGCTCATTTAAATGAGAAGACCATAACCCATTTGAAGACAAGACCTGAACAGCAAAAAAAAAATTATATTACTATCCACTTTTCTCTTTTAAAAAACACAGCTTAAAATTGATTAAATAGACTTTCATATTTCTCTTGCAGCCATGAAAACTGTTCTCATTTTCCTTTCCACACTTTGTGTAGACTTCCCATGATTATCCAGTTCTTCAGGACACATTCATGAGAGCAATACCTGAACTCACTACTCTACATTCACATATTTACGCCTACAATACTCTGGGGGCTTTTTTCTTGTTCACTGACTGTGAACGGTTTTATGATTTTATAGGGCATAAATACTTAATCTTTGTCACTTCCATACTTCAAGTTTGTGATCAACAGTGTATTCACTGTGTAGATCCTTGTTCTTGTGAAGTTATCATTCTCTTGTCTCATAGAAAAATAATCATTTCACAGTCAGTAAAATCCTAAGCAGTGCTGACAAAGTCATGGTTGTTTGATGACTACAACACAGGCACCAGCCCTTCCAATATTTAAGGAAGCCATCTGCAGAAAAACAGACACAAATTAACTGAATAGGAAAAAACCATGCAAAAATTGCCAAGCAGGAACAAGCCATGCATAGATTGTACAAGTGCTGTGTCAAAATTATTTTTAAATGGTCAAAACTAATGGGAGTATAAATTGCTAAAATTAAATAAAACCCATATTATGCTACTATTGTAATTTAAAATTGCTTACTCACACCTGACACCTTTCATTTGAAAGTCGAGAACAGAAAGCAGGAATTAATTTTAGAGCTGTCATCAATTTTGTGAACCATTGATATGCAAGGGGTTTCTATATTCTGTAGACTGTGGCTGATGCTTCCACTCTAGTCCTTGAGGCAAGGTGAAAGCTACCAATACAGAAATGGTTCCAGTATTCCTAAACAGGTTCCAGTACCCTTTAGAATATGTTTGGCAATTTTAAACAGTATTCAAGACAACACAAGGATAAAACCTTTATGGGACTGAATATTGCTGAAACTATCACAGTAGAGTTAGCTTATATGTATGTAGCAACACACTGTAATTGGTACAACTGTATAAATCACAGCATTGCTTATATGTCTTCAAACTACCTGTGTTAATAATCATACTTATTAATGGTTTTTAATGTGAATTGTTGGTTTTGCAAAAAGTGAATATTCCCAAATTAATTTCATATCTCCTACAGAACATCATAAAAATGCTCTTCTCAGTAATTCATAGTAGATTAAAAAACATGGGCTTCTGTACCAACTTTAAAGCATTTGTGTCTGCATTCAAGTTTGTCAACAGAAGGTCCCCCTTGCAATCATAAAAAGAAATAGGCATTCTGGAGTATAATACATCTCACCTATGTTAAATGCTTATTTTAGGATAAGGTCATGATTCCAAGGTATGAACCTTTCTGCACTAGGTTTAAAGAAAGTTTGGCTAATGGCTAATTCATATATATATGTGTGTATGTGCACATGTGCATATATTAAAAAAAACTTTATAATTACCTGTGTCCACTCATTAGTTTGAGGGTCGTATGCTTCCATAGTGTTCAGGTATGACTGACCATCATATCCACCTACTGCATATAATTTGTCACCAAGGAGACAAACACCAACAGCATCTCGAGGCATACTCAGTGGAGCCACCATTGTCCACGTATCAGTTTTTGGGTCATACCTGAGCAAAGAAAAATGAAACTGGGTATGTGGAGAGAAGACAAGCATCAATCCATGTTGATTTTCACTTGAATATAGTCCTTTTTTTCCTGGGGGAAAAACCAAACCTTTAGTATCCTATCCAAAAATTTTTTCCTAACATCAAAAAGATACAGATTTATTGCATTCACAATTCAACCCTGTAGATGTTGATTAGAAACTTTTGCTCAGCTAACATTCTAGAATAAACTAAGCTGTTTGTAGGATAGTGTGTCATAAAGAGATCTGAGAAAGATATATGAGCAATATCTGAATGGATGGGTATAAAATTTTTTTATATGTTATGAATACATTTAAACTGGGGTATTTCCTGTAGCACATCTAAAATATTAGAAATATTATTTCTAATATTAAATTTCACTATATTTTAATTTCTGAAATTATACTATAAAACAGTAAAAATCTCCCTATGTATTCTCATGCTTAACTGCATTAAAATTAGTGTCTCCTGATATTTGCTCAAGTAGATAAAATAATATTGGTTTTTAGACATAATCGCAACTGAATTTTTTAAATGGAGGGTAAAATTCTTTTTGTATAATGCCTGTAATTTAAAAAATAAAATATTTAATCTAGGTTTTCATTTAGATATTCCGTAACAAAGTAAAATTGTTTATTTCAGAAGTCATTCCATTGTAACTCTTTTGGACATGCATAAACCAGAAATTAATTATCTTTTGATAGTTTGTTACCAAGAATGTCTGAAGTATTAGGTTACACTAGATACCATTTTTAGATGTCAAATATTAGTAAAACAGAATAGTGTATTACAGTATAATAAAATTAATTTAATCTGTCCTTAAGCAGTCTACTATGTAATAGAATCATGTGATCAGTGGAAAAAATAAGCAGTTTTGGTCTACAAATCCTTTAAAAAGTCTGACTGTATTAATTTGCTTAGATGTGTAAGTATTTATGTCATAAGCCATATTATCAATAAGCAACTTGGAAGGATACTGTTTGAAGTCCTACATATTTGAACAATGAAATATTATACATATATATATTAGTACAAGCACTGAAACAGCAATGCTACAGTGTTTTGCTTGTACCAGCCTTTTAGTTCATAAATATAACTTTTAAATTGGACAATAAAAAATTTTCTGTAACCTTGTTCATATTGTTCTTGAGAGGTAAATACATTTTAAGAAAACAATCTACTTGCACGCTAGCTGCTAATCCTGGCATTTGGGGGACTTCTCAGAAAATAAGATGTCAAATATCTAGATATATGATAAATGTCTTTCCTAACTTTAGAGGAAAATACTGTAAAATATTGCTTGAATATGTGGAAGGGAAATCACCATGTAACAAGCCAAAAAAATATTTTGGATGGATTTTTTCAAAGACTGTGTGAGTTTTCAACAACAGAATCATACGCCTCAAGGTGAAACAATTTCCCATCCACTGAAATGCACCAGTGTGCATTGTATCTTTGCCTACCTAAAGGTCATAAATGTTTAATAGACTCCTCCATACACATCTCTTAAATTAGAAGGGCCAAGGTGAGGAGGTGCAAAAGTTAAAGCTGGAAAACAATACAACTAACATCATCATTTGACCTTTTTTTTTCTTCTTCTTCTTCCAATAAACTGGTGTGCAAGGCTAAAATGAATCCTTATAACTCAATTCTGTCAACAAAATAGAACTGCAAAAGAGCTTGTTAGTTTTGTAACTTCCAGGAAAATATCTGAGATTTCTTACATCCTTTATGCTGCTAAAAAGCAACTGTATATGTCATCTTTATGATAGCTAAGTATGCCCCAGGCTGAATAGGGTTATGATAAAAGCTCCTGAATGTAGAAATAAATCAATTTTGAAATCAAGGTGACACAAAGGGGAAAAAAACTATAGGTCAAATGACTATGTTTTTAGCATCTGTCAAGTTTTGAGTAACATTTGAAAGAGAAAAGTTGCTTTATGAAATCTGCCAAAATATATTGAAAATTTTATAATTTTTATGAAGTAGTTATTTTGCCTTTAAAAAGGAATAGAAGATTGCACTTTGCCAACTTGTGAAGATGAGTGAAACGTAACTATTATTTGAGAATGCTCGAATCCAGAGGAAATCCCTTAAAATTGCATCAACCTTAGAAAAACATAAACTGGAGTACCTAACTAATATTGACCAGTACTTTAGCAGTAGCATAAGAAAACACATATCTGCTGGCTCCACTATATCTGCATAATCTCAAAAGTAAATTTGAAAATATTATGTCTGGTTTGACAGTCTTCCAGGAAGAAATTGATACTGGAATAAAGCACATCCTACCAGGCTGCATTAGAATGACAAAATGACTGAAGCAGACTCATTCCTGAAGAACAAGAGACTTAGTTAAAAAACAAGACTTCAATATTTACAAAAAGAAAAACTTTTAGACTAATAGACCTCTTCATCACTTACTACTCTTTGTTTTCCTAACATATTGAGGGACTTTTATTTTTTGGAAATGATGCATTGTTTTGGAATAAAAAACCAGACATACTAAATAGCATTCCAGCCATCTTATAAACTAATCAATCATTGTGAGGGCCATGAGAGTTTTTTCACATTTCAGTGGAGTCCACCAGTTAATTCACATCCACTCAATGTAAGTTTATAGTCTTACAAGTTTTTGTTAGTCCGAAATTTTAGCCTCAAAGCTAACTATTGATGAAGTACATCATCCACACCTTTTGCTACCAGTGGAACAAATATCTAGATGAGGGATACTATATACTGTCACTCTAATACTAGTACATAAAACAGCATAATGATAGGTTTAGCTCATTTTTGCAGTCTCTCCTGAGAAAGACAAATGCAATGGAGTATGGTTTGTCATCAACACCAGAAGGGTTTTCTTCTCAGTGAATGAAAAATAAAATATAAGCTCCCTACTGAATACCAATAAGCAGAAGCAGTTGAAAATATCTCAAGACTGTTGCTAGTAGTCTTATTATAAATTTATTTAAGTGAAAATTCTTTTTATTGTTCCTTATAAATAAAGGTCTACAAGCATAGGCCCTATAAGTACAGGCATCATGGGATTTCCCTGATTAACTGTCCCTCTGTTGCAGATGAGAAGAATTGGCAATGATTTTTGCTTACATACAGCAGAGATGGCAATGAGTCTAAGATTGAGCAAAATCATATGGATAACACAAGGAGTATTCACTTATAATTTTTCAATTAAATATTGAATACCAAGTTGTATTTAGCAGAAGAAATTACTGACATTTAATCAAGCCTTTCTGAAAAGAAATAATGAGATAAATCTTTCCCACCTTATATGTTAAGATAAACCAATTACTCAAATATACCTACTTTAACTTTTGCAATCTGTACACATTTGGAGTGAATACTTTCATTACTCTCTTTTATAGCATTCAGAAACAGAAAAAAAAAAAGTAAAACATTCATGAAAAATTTGAAGAATACCTTTAAATTGAGAGCTTTAATCACTTCATCTGTGGTGTACTGCCATACTAGATATTCTTGGATTTGTAGAAAATCTACTTGCAAAATTCAGGGTACTGTAAATAAAGTGTATTAGGCTTATATCACCACATTTGAAAGTGACAATTTTGATAAAGGAAGGAATTCATTGTACTGTGAATATCCATCACTTAGACAGTTCTTTATTTCTTCTTTGCTTAGCTATGTTTTTGGAGTTAGAAAATATTCTAAACACAATTCAATTTTGTGTTATAAAATTTTTTCAAGGAAAAAGTTTTATCTCTACAATTTTTAGTTTGTGTCACTTCAATGCATAGTGTCACAAATAATAGTGTCCTAAAATTACTTAAATGGGATGTGTAAAGGGTGATTTTTTGTGTTTGTGGTAATATACGATAGTACTGTGAATAAAAAGGGATTAAAATAAGTTTCAAAGAGATTGTCTTTCACACACCTTTATAGAATTTTCAAGTAAGTACTAATTAGACATTTCTAGGATTAAGAACATCTGTTTAAATTTACCATCATTAAGCTAAGAAAATAATGCTACCAGATATTATTTTGTATTTAAAACACGCATATATAATTTGATACCTTTCCACGTAGTCCAGCAGACGAGAACAGTGATTAGAAGCAGGAGCATCATGACCTCCAACTGCATAAAGAAAGCCATCACAGGTAGCCACGCCTACACCTCCTCTTCTCTTACACATAGGAGCACACATATTCCACTTATTTGTGTGAGGATCATAATATTCCATTGAGCTCAAACATGAACTTCCATCCCGACCTCCAACAGAATATAACCTAAGAAAGTCCACGCAAATAAAAGTGTTGATAAAACAAGAGCTCAGAATTGCAGAAGTAAAAACAATGAGTATCTGGTTTTTTATCTGACAACAGAAAATAGAAAAAAAATACATAATATTTGAAATCATGTGAATCTCATATAGTAAAAAACCACAGTTTTCAATATTATTACCAATCTCACGTGCTATTTAGTACTTTGTCCACCTGAAGAGGAAGGAAGATATTTCTTTCTCATAATGAATATTTTCATTCTTTCATTACTGTATATTCAGTCAAGAGCATTACAAATGATATGCAAGTTTGTCTCTAAAGGTTTGAAAATCATGTAAGCAGGGTTGCTGCCTAAACTCACCATTTAGGAGATGGGACTGGAAGTGCAAACTTATAACTGGTAATCCAGACAAGGAAGAAATATGCAATCCATTTATTATAGTTTCTCTGTGTTTTTGCTGTGCATCAAACTATTAAGAAGCACAAACAATATGGAAAACAGGATCTGATATTCAACAAATTCCACATAAAAATCTATCAATAGGAACACATTTCCAGCATGAATTTTACACTTAAAATATAGTAGAGATCAAATATGAAATGTGTTGCAGATAGGAGTGTCACATTACGTTTTAAACATGGATTTTTAAAAATTGCTACCTCAGTTTCAAGGCTCTTGCTTACACTGGAGAAAATTCTTACGCACACTAACAGCAACATATCTACTTTGCAAGAAAATTATAACCCCCAAGCACGGTGTGTTGCTTTTCGTCATCAGAATGTTTTATGAGGATAAAGTTATGTTGAAAAGTCATGGACAACTTCTGAAGAGTATTTTAAACTTGAAATTATAAAAATGTGGTTTAACAAAAATGATGTTGTGTTTGTAAGCATCTGCAGGCAAGAAACTTGTTTCGTTCTGCTGTTTATAATGGGTCCCAGGAGGAAATAGTTCTGATTGTTCTTTCTCCCTTATACCATGCTGTATTCATTCTGTATGAATCTTTTTGCAGTCTGTTGCCTTTTATATAGTGCCTGGAGATTAACTAATAGAAACACAGGCTATTTTAAAGTCCAACCACTAAGCAATTTCAGACGTGAAAGCTGTCTCTGTAAAGCAATTACTCATTTGGAAGCTTTTACTGTCCTAAGCACTCTATGAATTCAGAGCCATTTAAATGTGCATTTGCCATTACATTTCATTGGTGTGGATGCTGATGAATAAGAAAATGCTGTACAACCACTAAATATGTCACTGAAGCCTGAGAACATTTTGGTAGTGCCTGACAGCCATACCTGTGCTCTGACTAAAGCACCCAGGAGAATCCATACTCCACTGTGAGAGATACTAAAGCAAATACACTTTTTTACAATTACTTCTTTGGATCCAGACCTTTGGATTTAACTTCATTTATGATTATCAGATATCTAAAGATGAAATCAATATTAAAGCATCCAATTTTGTTAATCTGTGGATGTCTACAGTATCCAACTTGCGGTTCACTCAGACTAGTCATCTGAGCCTAAAGAACAACACTAAAACTATTTAAATTTTACCAAAAACAGTTATAGTAATATAAATGTAAATACAAACATTTACATATAGGTGTCTGCAAGGATCTTATCTTTATTTTCAAAGATGTGACTTGGTTCAGCTATCCACAGACAGTTATAAAACATTTTTTGTGACATTTAAGTTATGTTGACATTCCTTCCAGGCTGAGAGATATGGAAAATAGTATAGTACAAAAACCAGTAGAAAAAAAAAACCATGACTGCTGGCAGCCTGAAGCAATTTAAATGTAAGTAGACAACTACATATCGGTAAGTGAATTGATCCCCAAAAACATAAACCATGATTAAGATTTCTAAGATTGTAAAATTTTTTTCTTACTTGGACAGGTAAACACTGTACACCATTTAAAAAATGCAAAGAACCAACATTTCTGCAGACTTCAGTGCAAATAATCTGGTGTACCCCTAAGCAAAATCCCAACAACTTCAATATTTCTTCTGGCATGAGAAGTTCTTATTTATTCCATTGTCTTTCAACTAAAATAAATCAATAAGCTGATATTTGCACACTGAAAGTAAAACATACTTTCTCATTCCTCTATTCCAATTAAGACAGCTAATAAAATATAGCTGAAGGCACTCTTGAGTTGCTGGTAAAAAGACAGCAAATGCTGTTCACAAGTACCTTATGAAGTGATTGGGACCACCTAGTCTGTTGCTAAAATGTTCTCAGGTATTCAGAACAAAATTCATTTTCAAAATCATATTTTGGAGCTAACATTTTTTGAGTTTTGTTGTGTTTCTATCTTTTTTCTCTAAGGAATCATTAATAATTTTTTTATTTTTTTTTTTTACTTTCCCAAGGGTAAAATAAAAATAGATAAGGGAAAGTTGGAAATGGAGTAATTGTTTTAAAGCTGTGGTTGTGGCTGTTTGAACAATTCAGTCAGAATTTGCTTCCAGTCTTCAGTCAAATTTCCAAATCTATGTTCACAAAGGCTCAAAAATGACTGGGGAACAGCTCTGCAACAGGCACTGAATATTCAGGATACTGTACATATATCTGAAAATTTTGAAATATTTATAATTAAGGCTATTTAATAGTCTTACTTTCTTTTTAGAGCTTGGGGTGTTATTTTATCAGATGACTTTAAATGAAATAATTTTTTCAGCTTTCTCTAGCTTGTCCAAAATTTGTAATACAATTTCTATAGGGAAAAATAGAATGCATTTCTCTGAATTAGCTGAATTACTCCTCATGGTGTATCCCATCAAGACTAGAATTATTATAAAAATAGTAATCATATATCCCTGCTTAGAGAGCAAGATCAGCAAGGAAAAGAAAGCATCCAGTCCTGAACACTTTTATCTCCACAGTCAAAGTTCTGCCTGTGGAGATATTGTAGATTTCTATTCCTAAATAGTCTACATTTCAGCTGATTCAGACACTGTGCATGGATAACAAATTAGGCCAAGCTCAGCCTCTTCTGTCTTTTCAGGGTTTGGTCACTTTTACTAAGATGGAGAGAGATTCCTGAACATTTGTATACATATAACTATATGTATAATTGGCTAGAAAAATGACGTAGAGGTTTCAAAGTAGGAAACATTAGGAGAAATCACAACCAGCTGGATCAAAAGCATTTATCTCAGTTCTGTCATTACAAACCTTTGATAACTACTCAGAAAAGACAGTTTTAAATTCAGTTTGACAGGCCAACCTCAAAAGACCAGACTGCCTTTGATGTGAGGTGGGTATGGCTTGTGAAACCAGTTGAATCATGCCCTTGCTGCATTTCTTAATGAGGTTTTCCCTTTCAAAATTCTTTCACTATGAATATCAAAGACCTTATCCAGTCTTTTGCTTAGGCCCTTTTGTACCCTTTTCTGGCCTTTCAGTGTGTCTGAAAGAGTAGCAGAGATACTCTGGCACAAAAGATATCTGCTTATTAGCACTGAGGGACAGTAATAATTTTAATCAGTGCTGGACTACTGTATTGCTGAATCAGTCCATACCTGGCCTAGGAATCAGAATATAGAGAGAGATATTTATCCATGCTGCCTTGATTAAGCCAATATAGTTCACTGGCAAAAGTTGAAAATACAATAATTTTGTGAATGGAACACATTAATGAAGTCTTATTTCTGTGTGTAAATTTGGAAGGCCATTTGAAGTATTTGTAATGCAGTAGGGAAGTAAATTAAAAGTAGAAATTGACCCCCCAAAAATGGAAAAATATACAGTCATAGTGTAATTTCCTGGAATTAAATTAGTAGTAACTGCTAATAAGTTAGATAGGGGCCCTGAGAACTTGATCTAATGGCTGGTGTTTCTGCCCATGAAAGGGAAGTTGGAACTAGATGATATTTTTGGGTCCCTTCCAACCCAAGGCCTTCTATGATTCTGTACATAAAATATTGAGAGAAAAACACCCTTTTCACGGACAATGTTGTTATGAAAAAATTTGACTTCCTACACTGGAAATTTTAGTTTCCTAATAGAAAGAACTTGTTTCAAGCAATTTTAATTGTAATCAGAATTATATGCACTACATTCTCTGTACAAGACCATTGACTCAATGCAGATTCCACCAGCTGAAAAACATTCTTGACTTTATCAAGCTATCAAGTAGGTAAGGCAAAATAGTCTTTGTAAATTAATCATTTACTACAGCATGTGCATGAGGCCCTTTATTTGCTGTATTATTAAGACACACAGTGAACCTGTCATTAAATAAAAATTTTTAGTGAATCCATAGAATTACTTTGTGCTAGACTGAGATAATGTTTGTGAAACTAATTTTCTTTGTGAGTTTAATAATTTTAGACCATACAATTGTTCAATTTCTTTTGTCTCAGTATCAATTTATTTAATGATTTTGACTAAAATATTTAAAAATATCTACACCTTTTTATAGTTTCCACAGTTCAATATAGTTTCCATAGTTTCAATATGTGTCTCATTTTCCCTCTAGTGGGATACAGAATAATTGTTTTTTCTGAAAAAAAAGAGTTTGATTTAAACCAGAAATTATCAAACATCATATTTACAAAACAGCAGCAGCATAACAATGTCATAAAAGAACCTGAAATAATTTCTCAAGATTCAAATTAATTTGTAAAACTATTTATAGGTGAAAGTACATTTAGAGTAAAACAGTAAAAACAGAGACAAAATTTTCAACGAAAAAATTCTAAGGCTGGTAAGTGTGTTTGTTATTCTTCCCATTGAAAAAGAGCTTCACAAAATTCATTAATAATAGCTAATAATTTCCTAAGACAAATTTAAGATACTGCCTGGTTAGGTAGATGATATAGATGAAAGCAGACATGTGACAGCATGATTTTTTTTTTACAAAAAAAAAGATCTAATTAGGCAGGATGCAAAATATCTTGGTCATACTTAATATATTGATTTGTTTGTAGTTAGTGAGAATATTGTGGGCAGAAAACATGCAGTTTAAGGCATTTTCCTTTCTCCTTACCTGACA